ATTTACTATAATATTATATATATTTATAAAATTAATTTAAAAAAAAAAATTTTTTAAAATTTTAATTTTTCATAAAAGTAAATCAGAAGGGAATTTATAATAAATAAGCAGGCAAATTTGCTTGTGAATCTCTATAGTTTAAGGAATAGCAATTTATTAAATTAATACTTTTTATAAAGGAAATCAAGGTTCAAGAAGACATAATTCTACCTTATAAGATACTTGTTAACTTCAACTTACATATGTTAAAGTGATCTTTTTACTACTGAATACTATAAGCTATCTTCAATTTCTCAATTCAAGAATCATTATAAATTACTACAAATGATATTACTGTTATAATATGTTATAACTTTTTGAAGAAGGTAAAGATATCAATAAAGAGAAAATTAATATCAAAGAAGCAATTGATATTTGACAAATGTGTTACATAATATAACTAAAGAAATATTTCGTAATTATTAGAATAAAACTGAAAAATTATCTTCTTCAACTAATAAAGATATAAATAATGCAATGTAAGTCTATTGAGAAATAAAACAACAAAAATTAATTAAATAATTGACGAATTTGATGACCCTCATGCTTCTTTATTAAAAGATGCAATTAATAAATTCTTTTAAGATTTAGATAAAAAAATTCTAATCAAGGATCTTTTAAATGATGATGATATTATAAAATTGGTTTAAAAAAAGACATATGATGATGAAAATAATAATTCTGAAGAGGATTTCAAAAAAGAATCAGTACCAATATCTTTTGTTGATGCAATTAAATCTTTACAAAATTGGATAACTTTTTTTGAACAACAAATAACAAACGAATTTAAAATAGAAGATTTAGATTTTTTTAAAAAATATCTTAATATAGTATGATAGTTTGAATTGCAAACTAGAAAACAAGTTTTAATAACTGATTTTTTTAGCAAGTAAACATTAGAAAAATAATAATTGTATAAAATTTTCAAATTTTACAAATTTTATAATAAAATTGAATTTTATATGCTTTATTTTGATATATTTTCATAATGCTTCTAATAAAAAATAAATTTTAATTTAAAATTAATTAGTATTGAATTTCAGATTAATTAGTGTTAAATTTAGGTTTAATCAGTATTGAATCAGTGGTGATTAAATATTAATTCAATTTATATGATTTCAAATTATAAAATTTAAAAATTTTTCTCTATATAATCACTTTACATAATTTATAATATAAAAGTAATTATATAGAGGTTTCATTTATATAGTTACATCTCTATATATTCATTAAATTTGATGGAACTAATTCAGTGATTATATAGGGATCTGACTATAGATGCATATTCTCAACATAGAACTAGTATCTAAATTGATATAGAGGAATAGCATTTATAAAAGCTAGCTCTCAAACAGTTGAAGAAAATTAATATATTTAATAAAGTTTATAATAAGTAAAAAAGTTAAAATGAGAAGAAAATTATTACTATTAGATCATAATAATATCATTAGTTTAAAGTATCAATATAAAATTAAGCAATCAAATAAATATAAAAGATTAACATTTTTACTAAAGAACTTAATATCTAAACAACTTAAAAACAAAAAAAAATAAAATAGTAATTAGACTAAATAGTGTTGACAATTAGAATATATAGTACTATTTATAATTAGATAACAGTTTATTCATAATAGTAGAAAAGGTTTAAAGAAATAACTAAAAAATAAAAGAGATAATCAAGAAAAAGAAAAGATAGATTATATGATAGTACTTAGACTATATTATTTAGATTATAGAGTGGCAGTCAAATTATAATTATTAGATTATAAAATGATATTCAGATTATAGGTGGTATATAGATTATAATATAGTTTAGTAATTAGATTATAAAGTGATAATAAGATTATAGTGATAATTAGATTATATAGTGATACTAAAATTTAATCTAAGTGAAATACCACTTTAAAATTAGATAAATAGTTATTAATAGATTATAAAGATATTGTTAGATTATATAATTAGATTATGAAATCATCATTAGATCATAAAATTAGATTATATTATTATTACTAGATTATACCACTATTATTAGATTATATTGCTACTACTAGATTATAACAGATTATGATATTGCTACAAATTATAATATTACTAACAAAAACTAGTCTAAATTATCAGAAATTTTTAATAAAGAATCTTTGACATCTTATAACATTAGATTTTAAAATTACTATTATAATTATATCAATGACTAATAATTATATAATTGTATTATAATTTTGAAATTTTTTAAAAACAATTTCTTAACATATTAATGAAATACAAATTTTTCTGTTTTTAAATTTTATTATAATAAGATTAAGTAATTCAAAATAATTAAAAGATACTTTATTATATAAAATTTTTTTATAAAATTGCTTATTTTATTTATTTATTTATTTCTTTTTATTCTTTTTATATTTAATAATAAATTAGTTTTAAATATTACTATAATTATTTTTGATATTTTCTTTTTAATTAATAATAAATAAATAAATATACTAAATAAAACTCGTATTAAACAAAAATTTTTTTAATTAGTGTATATCCCTTTTTAATACACACCCTTTTTTTCTTTTTAATATACCTTAAATAGTACCCCAGGTATTATTCAAGTTAGTCTATTTTTTGCCAAAAAACGGATCAGAAAATTAAGGCCGTAACCAATCATAAGAAATCTGTTTAACCTTTTTTTTTTCAATAAAATCTTATGTGCTGATCTTTTTGCTAACTTACAATTAAACCTAATTAAACTTTATAGGGCACGAAAATTGTGTGGTCTTTAATTTTTTCCATTTCTTGGTGTAACCTTAAATTTTTGATACTTTATTTTTAAAAAATGGAGAAAATCGTTCATAACAAAGACATTTTTACAAACTTTGCTGAAGCTACAAGTCAACAACAACCTGCTTCAACTCCATGGACTCAGGAAAAAGAAGAAGTATAAAATTACCAAAACGTGTTTTTTTTTCCTTTAATTTTATACTTTTTATTTACATATCGTTTTTCTTTCTTTTCTTTTTTTTTTTTTTTTTTAAAAAAAAAAGTTTCTTTTAGAACCTTATAATTACTTGTTAGCTCATCCTGGTAAAGAAATTAGAAGCAAATTGATCGATGCCTTTGATCATTGGCTTAAAGTTCCTAAAGATAAATTGACAATTATAAGCAAGGTTGTCGAAATGTTACATACCGCCAGTTTATTGTAAGCGTTTTCGATTTGTTTAATCGAACATTAGACTATTATTAATTATTAATTCAAATTAAATTGGTAAAATTTAAAGGATTGATGATGTAGAAGACGATTCAAAGTTACGCCGGGGTGTTCCAGGTAAACATATCACATTTGACGTACGTTTTGTGTACGTATCGATTCTAATATCAATATATTACAGTTGCACACTCTATTTATGGGATACCTGCCACAATAAATTGCGCGAATTATGTATATTTTCTTGGATTAAACGAATTAAAAAAGCTCAATGATGTAAATATGTTTAATATTTATACAGGTAAATGTAGTAATCGAAATTCATTCAATTATTTTAAATGATTAATACCTTGTTTATTTTAGAGGAATTGTTAAGGCTTCATCGTGGGCAAGGTCTGGAACTCTATTGGAGAGATAATTTGATTTGTCCTTCTGAAAAAGAGTTCATCGAAATGGTTTCAAACAGTAAGAACTTCATAAATTATTTCTCTCTTTTATTATTAAAACAGAATAACAAAATGTTAATTCTCTTTCTTTTATAATAAATGAAATGAATAGAAACTGGTGGTTTACTACGTTTGGGCGTAAAATTAATGCAAGCGGCGAGTGAATCTAAAATGTGAGTTTTATTTGTGTCGAATTCAAAAAGTTTTTATATTTTCTCGCATATCATCATAACTCATCACATATTTTATATATAGCGATTATGTTCCGCTTGTTAATCTGATTGGAATTCATTTCCAAATACGTGATGATTACATGAACTTACAATCGGATAAGGTAATTTTTTTATCTTAATTTATCTTTATTTTCTATTATATTTACTATGATTTTATGATTTTATATAGTATGCAGATAATAAAGGTTTTTGTGAAGATTTAACGGAAGGAAAATTCTCTTTTCCAATCATACATTCCATTCATAATGATCTCAATAATAATAGAAAACTAATAAGTATCCTTTAAGACTAAAATTGAATTAAAGAATAATATCAATTCATTTATTCCTTAATTTGAAAAAAAAAAATTTGCGTTTTTCACTTATAAAGATATTTTAAAACAACATACGACTTCTATTGAATTAAAGCAATTTGCAGTGAAAATTATGGAAAAATCCGGTTCTTTTGATTATACTAAACATTATTTATCCAAAACAGAAAAGAAATCTAGAGATGAGATACAAAGGTTAGGCGGAAATCCGATGTTGGAACAGCTTATGGACTTTTTGAGTACTCGAGAATTATAACTGTATATATATATTTCTTTTTTTCGTTTTTTTTCACTATTTGTATTTATTAATAAAAATAAAATAACATAATAATAATTAAGAGACCTGAAACATATAATTATGGCATGGCAATGGCGAATTAGAATAATTTATAATATATATATATATATTTTTTTTTTATTGTTTATAATAATATCTAAAAATTTCTGTACAAGGCGAATTAAATAATTTTCCGATCATTCAGATAAATAAATCGAAATAAACAAAAAAAAACAAAAAAGATCTACTTTAATATTTTTTAATGTGAACAAGAATTGAAAAAAAAAAAAAAAAAAAAAAGAGAGAGATGAAGACAATAATATACGAAATATAAGATAATTTTAATCCAAAAGATAATGATTATTCTTAGGGTTCAAACGAAGCAGCGTGATCAAACAAAGCCGAACTACTTCCCATAATTAAAACACCCAAGAAAAAGAAGATGGTCGTTAGTTGACCATCTGATTTGTCATGTTTGATGGCTTGTGGTAACATTCCCTATAGAAAGATTAAAGTAAAATATTTTTAATAAATGAAACAAATTGTTTAAATAAAAGATTTCTTTTTCCTTTTTTTTACCTGAATGCAAATCACTCCCATCAGTCCGCTGACTGCGGAAAATAATGCACCATAAATGAAGTTATGATCCCAACATGCAGCTTCAGACTCTTTTAAAAACAAATATCCTATTAAAGCACCAAATGGTTGACTAAAACCTCCTAGTAAACTTGCATATAAGAAACTCTTTATTCGTGATTGTGTTGCCACATATAATGGAAGTGCAATAGTAAATCCTTCAGAGATATTGTGTAAAGCAATAGCAAAGAATAAAGCGAAACCAATAGATGGCGATACTTGCGAGGTGACAAATGTGATAAGTCCCTCTATTTGTGATTAAGATAGAACTTTCATATTAGGAAATGAATGCAAACAAATGTAAAAAAGATAAATATTTAGAAAATAAAATAAAATAAAGGAAGCATGCCTGGAAATTTATGAATGGAAATGGCCAAAGCGGTCTGAATTCCAATTCGCATTATTTGCTCATGTTCCGGATCGACATGAATATGTTGATCATCATGAGAATCATGATAACATAAAGATTCGAGATCAGGTTCTCGTGTATCATTTTCAACCATACAAACAGAATGTCTTTCTGAACAAGCGGTTTCGTTGTAACAATCGTTACTTCCTACATCATATAATGGAGAAGAAATACCATCCATATGATTTCTTAATAATGGAGACCTTTCGTCATGTGAATCATTTTGGGTTAAGAGGGATTCTACGTCATGCTTATTTACTTGCGGTTTTTTAATATCATCGGGAATATGATGATGATGGTGATGTGAGTGTATTGAAGAACCACTCAATGCATGATGAATAAGTTTATTTATAATCGCCGACCCGATTACGCCTAAAAAGTAGAATGCAATCAAACTCATCCCTGAATACTCTCTCAATTTTGGAGTTTTTCGAAAATACTCTTTGGCTTCGTTTAACAATATAAATAGACTTGAGAACAACTAAATGTGTATATTAATTTCGAAATTAAACAATATAGTTTATTAGAGAGAGAGAGAGAGGGAGGGAGGGAGAGAGAGAGAGAGAATACAATAAGATCGTTCTTAAATACCATTACTCCGGCACCAAGTGATAATGAAGCAACCAAGAATTTTGAATTATGAGCGATTTGTAGAAATTGTGTGCATTTAAACTTTTGAAAGAAAAGATCCGAAAACACCACAGACGCTAATATAAAAATAACGACGAGCGGTTATAAATTTGTAAAACTTGCAATTTAAAAAAAAAAATTTTTTTTTTTTTTTCTTTTTTTTTTTTTTAAATAAAATGAAACTATCTTTACCTCCTAAACAACAGGCCAGTCCTGACGCAAGCGTCAAAACCCAGCCTTGTAAGTTATTATTTTCTAAAGGCGCTTGGCAGCTGTTCATTTTTAATGTAAACTATGCAACTTATCGAAAGTATTTCTTGGTCTCTTTTTTTTTTATAAAATAAAAAAAATAATATTGGGTATTTTACTTTATTTTTAAAGGAAAAAGGCAAAATGTTTCAAAATGTTAAAAAACTGAAGGAAAAAAAACCATGAAGGTACACCCTTGATATAAAGCAATCGGTGGGATTTCAAACCTTTTAAAGTTAATCCCGTTATACAGTTATACAAATGAGTACCTCAAAGGTTGAAATGCGTGTACCCTACAAGTTGTTTGAATAAAGACATAACTTAATTTAGTAATGATCGGAAAGATGTACCTCAATGGTCACAATAAATCCCCTTATTTACAATTGAGATTATATATAAATTCATAAGAATTAAAAGAATTAAAGGAGTATTATAAGTATGAATATTGTGAAAAATAATTATAAAACCCATGCCCAGAGCTTCAAAAAGGATAAATAGTTTTCTTTTGAATAAAATAGAAGGTTGAATATTGTCATTATCATGGTTATTATTATGGTTACACGCGTTAAGAGATATATGGGGACCAGTCCGGGCTTAGCCAAAACTTTGATTTTAAAATTTTATTATAATTATATATTTATTGTTTTCAGACATGGTACAGCAGATTCTTATAAATATTAGTTTTCTAAAAAAAATTAGCATATTAAAAAAACATAATATTTTATAACAGTATATTATTATATTTAATGAATGAAATAAACTTACTAAAGCAAAACTAATGCTTTTTAATAAATTCCTACCCTAGTTGCAAAAAACCAAATTTTAAAAAATTTTAAAAATGACGGAATAAATTGCAATTTACTAAATTAACCAATAATTTTAAACTGCGATTTTCTTGAAATCACGTGATCTGCCTAACCCGGCTTTTGCTAGACTGGCCCCCATAATGCAAGTTTATGACATCAATAGAGTACCCTATCAGTTAAAATTTCCCGAAACTGAATAGTGAATTTACGCAATTTATTTCATGTTTAATATTAAAAGTATAATCTAAATATATCACTTTTTGACACAGATCCAAAAGGCACATTCATAGACGTACTTTAGCATCCCATTTGGATTCGAGGTATAAGTAGTATTTATGATTCTCTCGTCCTTTTTTTTCGAATGTAAATAAAGAATTTTAAGATTAAATCATATAAAATAATCACGCGTATATTAGATATTAAGGTACCTGAAATCGAAATCCAATATCTTTTGCAGCAAATTTAACTTGTTCCAAAGTTAATTCAATTGACATATCTCCGGGAGAATTTTCGTAATGATACAATAACGGACCAAGATTAATCCATAATCCTCCTGGTTTCAAAATTCGATGAAATATTTCCATATACTCTAAAATATTTTTGGCCGTATCAACGAAAAAACAAGTGACCACACAATCCCATTTTTCCGTATGTTGCTCCTCTCCGTAAACTTCGATGAAATCACCCGCTACCATTGAAAAATTAGAATTCGGTGGAATGTTGCTAGGTAATATATCTGGTATGAAAATGGGTTTTAATTGATCATCCGAACAAACGATATTGGAGAAAGAATGAATATACGGATAAATTTCATACTGATGAACCCTCTCCATCCTATTATAAAACATATTTCTTATTAATATATTAAAATATTGAACCATTTGAAAGTATATAAAGAATTATTACCTGTTTAAAATAAAATGAGATGCTAATAACTGAAATGATTTATCGATTAGAGTTGTATAAGAAGAAGAAAGATACCTTAATAAATCGATTTGACTATACCATAAAGAATGAAAATTCGTTTCCTAATGATAAGAAGGAAAAAAAAAAAATTTAATCAACTTAATGGCAATTATTCCTTGATTATTAATATATTAATACATAATACCTTGACAGCTAAATCCTTGCTGTACGATATCAAATGCTAAGCGTCCTAAACCAGCACCAGGAACTAGGACACGAATGGATGCCCTTTCTTCTTTAGAAATATCTTTAAAAGACTCATTTAACGCGTCAAGTAAAGGTTTGTACGCCGCATCTCTTTCAGGTTGACCCTTATTTGTATAATAAAGAATATTTAATTGAAAATAATCATTAACAGGTAAAATCAAAAGAGATTAATTTTACCTCGATTGCCCATTCTCTTACAAATTGTTTAATAGTACTTCTTAATTTATCCATATCGAACTCTGTTACTTGATCTACGTCTTTATCATTATTGAAACTATTCTGACCCATTTCAAGTTTTTTTTTGAAAAATTTAAAAGCTTGTTAATTTTTCAAAAGGTATTGACCCAAATTTCATGTAATAACTTGAACTACATACCTTGTTTCTTCACCAGTAAATAATTTACCATCAGCTAATATTTGTTTTAATACATGATAATTCTTTGAAATTGCCTTGTCTATATTATTTAACTTGGTTAATTGTTCCGGTATTAAAGCTTTATGTCGCTCTGATAAACTATAATAATCCGTTCTACGACGATTATTAGAAGATAAGGCGTGTGTTTTATATAAAGTAAAGGTATTCAAGACTTTTCGTAAATGCTAAAATATGAAATAATTTAGACTTTGCACAAGGAATCATTTTCAAGAGATTGAAAACCAAAAAAAAAAAAATTTCATGGGACCTTGGCTTCTTCTTCTACGATTTTTTTATCAACGTCTTTAGGATCATTAACAAACATTTTTTTTTTTTTTTTACTATGATGGTTTTTATACTTATACGGAACAGAATAATTACAAAAACAGAGTTTTGGATTCAATTTTTAATGTTCATCATTTTTACCGCAGTATTTCAAGAATCAACAATTTTTTATTTTTTTTGATTTATTGGTCGCTCTTTTTTTTTTTTTTAAAAAAATAGAAACAAAAAAAAAAAAACAAGTGTTCGGTCTCAATAAAAACATTGAAATAAATATACAAGAGGCTCTTCCCTAGTCTCTAATTTTTTGTCAAAAAAAAAAAAAAAAAAAGGTATAACTACACAAGATTTTCATGGTAATTGAAACAATTTTTTTTTTTCTTATTTTTAATCATAATAAATCTGAAAAATTAAATTCATATGAATGTTGATGTAAATATAAAGATAGAAAAGAAAATGAACAAAGGAGAAAATAAAGGAACTTAAAACAATCCAAAGTGTGAGGTCCAGATGTTACCAATATAAAAAAGTATTGGTGGGATTGGTAATTTCCTCTCTATATATCTTTTCATCTAGTTGGAGAAAAAAATAGAAACATCAAGTATATGAATAATATTAAAAAATAATAAACTTTATTTTTTATGCATTAAAGGGAATTAAAAAGTGACCACACAAAAAAAAAGGTGATCCCTTAGTGTCATTGCAAAAATTTTTGACTAAAAAGTCACACTTATTGTTTATTGTTGTTAATTGGGGTTTTAAAACATATTTTTAATTTGCTTTTTTATGTTTTTTGGTGATTTACGCGATAAATGTTATCTTTTGTTATAATAACACAAGCAAAAGACAAAAAATACCACGAAATATTCCCAAAAATAAAAAAGAATAATTTTTAATCGTAAACTATTAGGTAAAAGGGTTAAAGTTGAAAGTTTTTACTATTTTTTTTTTTTTTTTGACAAATAAAAATTAAAGGTATCGGACCAGGGAATTATAATTCTTAGAAAAAAAGCAAGACTATAGCCGAACACCCATATATTCCCAAAAGAACTTCCAATAAAACAAAAAAAAGGATAGGGAATATATTTAAAAGATAAGAGGGGTGGGGCAATTTGTCCAGCAATTTGCTATAAAATAATATAAAAAAAAATAATAATAATATAATACAATGTCATGTAAGAACACGACGGGGGGTTTGTTGATTAAAGAAAGTATTAAGTGAGAATGAAGAAAAGCGAATTAAGTACTTTTGAAATTTTGGTTCGTTGTGAAAAGGGTGATTTTTTTTGCGGATAAAAGGGAAAAGCTAATTACAATAAGGGTAACGAAACCAGTCGTTTTCCTTCTCTTTTTAATATTAGAATTATGTGTTAGGATCCTTGCACCTCCTTGAAAAATACGCCAGCGTTTTGGATATTAAAAAAAAACATTCAAGATCGAACGTTTTGATAGTTCATGTTTATTGTCCCCGTTGTGAAATATTACAAGACAATATTCGAAGATAGTATAGAAAATGCTAAAAGACGAACCAGTCGTCTCAACGAATATTGTCATTTATGAACAAAAAAAAGTATTAACAGAAAAAAATAAAAAATTATAAACCCAAGAATGTTGTTGCTATTTGACAAAAGAAAAAAAAAGATAAAAAGATCTCGATAATAAAGTCCAGTCCTTTTCCACCCAAAGATTAAAAAAAAAAAAGAAATATTTTTACTCAAACGGTTCTCTCGTCTAGATACACCATATACATACATATAAAATAAAACCCCAAAGGAGAGAGGAGCATTATTAAAAAAATATATTAAACAATAATTCCGTTCCCAGCATTTCCTTCCAAATATGCTGCAGGTAGATGGAAAAGGGGATAATTTGCATGTTCTGAGGCGGTATAAACAGCTAATCCATTAGGAACACAAGATGATGTGATGTTGGAATTATCATAACTATAGCAATCATTGACGACACTCTCTTCATAACCAAGATCTGAGGTGTTGGAACCGTCATCAGAAGGTGGTGGAGAATTGCTCATTCCACGTTCATGAGTCTTACGATGCTGTGCTAAATTATCTGATCTAGAGAACCTCTTGCCGCAAACTTGACATGAATAAGGGCGTTCCATGGTATGAGTACGAACATGACGTTTTAAATGTTCAAGACGCTTGAAAAGACGACCACACGTTGGAAGCGGACATGTGTAAGTTTTCATGGGATAAGGAGCTGCACTAGGTCGATGCGTTGTGGAGTTGCTACTATTATTATTTACATTAACATTATTGCAAGAATTCGCACGTCGTCTTCTTTGTTTATAAGTTGGGGAACCTTCAAAGATTGAGAACATTCCGAAAAGGTTGGCGGCAGTAGCAGCGGTATTTGGACTGTTATATGTTGTTGATGAAGGTACAATAGTTTGAGTCAATCCTGAAACATGGGCTTCTAAATGGTCTGGTGATGAGTGACGACTTTCCACATATGGTTCTTCTATGGATGAAGTGCTCCATGGAGAACCGGTAACGAAATATTCTTGTGGTGAGCTTGCTTCAAAATTTCCTTTTTGAAGTTCATCCATAGAACAATAGCCAAGATCTGGAGATGGATACATTTGTTGCTTCACCATTGTATTTTCGGGAATTGAAGGTTGAAATAAAGCAAAGGTGCCCAAAGAAGGTTGAGCTGATGATGAATTTCCCATTGATTCTTGGTCAAGAGAGTATAAAACGCCGGATGGGTCATCGGTCTTTATTTGAGCACCAATCATAGAAGGAGCCATTGGTGGTATTGAAGATTCGTAAACCAAACCACGAAGTTGTGGAGAGGATGGAGCCGATGAAGATGGTGACATTCCCTTTGTGAATTGATCATACAATGATTGTGTGGAATCAAAAGAGAACGAAAGAGCAGGTTCGGAAATCGCAACTGTTGTAGGTTCAATACCCATCTTTTCACGTTTTAAGTCACGTTCTAATGCATCTAAAAATAATCTATCATGCGGCACAGAAAACCAGTAGAAAACTTTTTGTTTCTTTTGAGTTCGAATACAGTTATTCTTATATAACATTTCAAGAAATTCTGATTTTGGTTCTTCAAGAGAAGCGTCCATGCCAGGTTTTAAGTTCCTTAAGTCACTAAAAACACCTTCTTCAAATTTTTTGATGTTCTTTACGGGTCTACCGAAAGCTTGGAAACGGAATACCAGACTCCGTACTATGTCTGTACCTGTTATGTGATAAAGGCTATTCCATAATACACAAGAAATATATTCACCGGTGGGAAGAAGATAGCGACGAATATTTTGGTCAAGTTCCCAATTTACTGGAGCGGTTGCCAACCAGTATTTGAGCTCATCAACTTGTTCCATTGGGGTCTTCATTGAACCTTCTACTGTATTCATTTTTATTATATATATATATTTTTTTTTTCTAGTTAAAATTAACAGATGTCTTTTTACAAAAAAAACAAGTAACTAAATTCTTTGACAATAACTGCAAGCAGTTTAAATTATGAGAGAAAAGTGTAATTTTAAAAAGTTTTTTTGTTAAAAAAAGGCCAATATAATTTGTATCAAACAAAAAATATGGCTTATGGATGCGCAGCTCCTTGGTGATCTTTTTGAGAAATGAGAAACCTGAGAGAGAAATAAAATTTTTTTTCCGCAAGCGGCAAAGAGGTTCTGTCTATTATTAAAGTTTTTAGCGTCTAGCTTGGGTTACTTTTCAACAACGGGGGGAACGGGGAGGGTTTAATAGGACCAAGCAACAAAGTGGGGCATGGAATAAAAAAAAAAAAGTACTTGAGGTAACAACGAATAAAAGGGAACACTCGATTCTTTAAGCTTTTTCCGAAAAATAGTATTGAAAATTTGTTGATTGGGGGATTGTTCTTGTCGGCTATTGAAATCAGGGTATCACAAAAGTTCCACATGTTCTTAATATTGCCTTTTAGATGGAACGGGGAAACAACCACAAAATATAAATAAACCAATCTTTGTACTAAATTTTTAATATAAAAAGTGCATATAAATGCATATAAATATAGAATAATAGTATATTTTGAAACAATACAATATTTATGATTTATAATATTAAAAAAATTTGTTTTGTTGTCTTTATATCTGCGTTCTTTTTTTGTGAACCGTTTACAAAAATAACCTGAAGCCTCCTGCAGGAATCCACCATTTCATTAGTTGTTCATTCTGCGATACAACTTGATACAGCATTTGTCTGTTCTTTATTAGCTGTTTTAGAACTATTCAATTTGGTAAGGAACTTGTTGCATATTACACCACTTTTCTTTTCATTTCCTTCCTTGTTTAATCTGGATTAAATAATTTACTATATAGGGATTATAAGGTATTGTGAAACAATAAGTTTTTATGATACAAATAAAAAAGTTTCCGATTTGAAACATTTATTTTTTGGTTATCATTCGGAATAATATTCTTTGTATTTTGTAATACCAAATTTATCAATATAATTGAAAAATTTTTTAATAATAAATCGATTTATATATAGTAATGAAATAAATTTATAATAATAAATTTATAATAATAAATCAATTTATATTTAAATCGTTAAAAATATATACCGTATTCTTCCGAAAATATGCAACCGATTTATGGCCCGCATTACTAAATCTTGGCGGGATTTGTATGCAAATGCGTTGTTGCTTATTTTCGGAGTAAAATCATATGATTTATAATATTATTCTACTAAAATATTTACAAATATATATCTATTATTCAAAAAAAAATAAAAATAAAAAAATTTAGTAAAAGATGTTAAAATAAATATATTAAAAAAAAACATAGTAGTAATAAAAAATCTGTTAAAATTCAATAATTATAAATTATAAATAACTAAAATTTTATTTATAATTGCTTAATATGTAATAATTTAATATATTAGAAAAATAAATCTGTTAAAATAAAAATTATCATTAGTTATATAATCTATAATTCTGATTAAATGTAAATATTGATTAGATTATAATGTAACTATTTAAATTAATAGGATTATCATATAGTCATTTAGATTATCCCTTAAATTGTCTAAAAGGCAAATTTTCTTACAAATCAAAAAAATATTTTTTTAATAAAATATAAAATATTAATTTATAATATAAAAATTTAATTTAATATACATTATTAATCTTATTAGAAAATATTATAAGTATATTAAAAAGTTTTTTAAAATAATTCAATTTTAAAATTAAGTTTTAAAAAAATTTATCATAGTAATTTTTAAAAAATTTTTTAAAATTTATATTAATTAAATCATTTTATTACTATAAAATTTCTTAATAAATTATTAAAATTGTAATAATTAAAGTTATTTTTTATAATAAATTTTATAATATTATAATATATATTTATTTCAATTTTAATTTATAATTTTTTTAACAATATATTATAATTATATCTATAGATATAATTTATTCTTTCTTTATATTACATAGTATCACCCTCTTCAAGTTTCTATTTTACTATTTATTTAAGAGACTTAGTTTTTTTTGAGTGATAAAATCTTATTTGTCACACATATCTATTTATCATAGTAGAGTTAAAATTAGGGTTAATTAGGATTAATTAAATTTAGTTAGGGTTAATTAAAGTTTATTATAGTTAGTTAAAATTAGTTAAGATTAGTTAGAGTTAGGTATTACCATATTATTAAGAGAAGGATACTGATATTTTCTAATATAAAATAAATTTTTAAGGTATAATATTTTTATTATCTATAATTAAATTTCTACAGTTTTATTATTAAAAAGAGTAATTTAAAGTTTTTTTTAATAATATTAAAATTATATAAATTAGATACTAAATACTAACTTATTTAATTTTAAATCTATATATATTATATTAATATTAGGAAATTAAATAATTTTAAACAATTTTAGACATAAAAAATATATCTAAAAATATTTAAAATTATCCAATTTTCTAATAGTGTACTATATATATATTATTATTACTAAATAAAGCTCTGAATTAGGTTAAATTCACCCGTTTATCTGATAGACTTAACCTAAAATTTAGGTCAGATTAATAGATTTTTAAGTTAATATTAAGTCAGGTCAACAAATTAAACAATTTGTTATTATTATTTTTGAATGATTTATTATTATTCAATTAAAATGATTCAATTATCATTCAATTAGAATAGTTCAGTTATTATTCTTTTTGAATGATTTATTATCATTCAATTAAAGTAATATAATTAGAATAATTTATTATTGTTCTTCTTGCATAATTTAATATCATTTAATTAGAATAATTCATTATCATTATTTTAAATAATTTATTATTATCAATAAAAATGATTCAATTATTATTTTTCTTAAATAATTTATTATCATTTAATTAGAATTATTTTTCTTAAATGATTTATTATTATTCAATTAGAATATTATATTATTACTAATTAAAATAATCTAAATTAACTAAAAATTAGATAGTTAAATTTAAGCTGATTTTAATATTATTTACGATTAATTAGTCATATTTTTTAATTAATACAAATATAAACTGATCAATATTAATCAGCTATAGCTATTTAATATCAATTTAGAATTTTAAATTTAATATAAATTAGCCTAAAATAAGACTAAAATTAGTCTCAATTCAGCTTTAATTTAGCTTTAATTTAAAACTTAAATTTAACTATAAATTAGCCTAAAATACTACTAATTAACTTTAATCAAACAAGTAATTTAGCTTCAATTTAGAACTTAAATAGCCATAAATTAACCTAAAATATTACTAACCAATTTTAATCAAATAAGTAATTTAACATCAATTTATTTATAAATCAATCTAAAATTAGTTTTAATTTAGCATCAATTTAATTAAATAAGCATATAAAATTAGTATATTTTTATTTAATTAAATTTATTAAATATTAAATTTTATTAATAATAAAACCCTAATATAAATTCACAAAATTATAATAAAAATATTATCAAAACTCACTAAATAATTTCTTATTAAAAATAGAATAATAAAACAATAAAATAATAATAAAAATATAATATATTTTCTTTTAAAATCACTTAAAATTGTTTTAAATATAATATTACTATAATATTATTATTATCAAATAAAATAATAAAATAATAAAAATATGATCTATTTTTCTTCTAAAATTCTTTTTATCAAATTACCAAAAATTTAACTTAAGTTTCAGCTTTTAATTTATCTAATTTTGATAGTTAAAGGATATTTCTATTAAAAAAGTAAAAAAAATTAATTTATTATTTAAAAAATTAATTAAAATTCAACTAAGTTTAGCTTTTTCTTTATCTGATTTTGATAATTAGAAACATATTTACAGTATATTATAAAAAATAAAAAAAATCAGTTTATTATTTTAAAAAGTTAATTAAAATCAATTTAAGTTTTAAATTTTTCTTCATTTGATTTTAATAGTTAAAGGCATATTTTTATTATAAAAAAATAAAAAAAAAATCAGTTTATTATTTTGAAAATTGACTAAAATTCAACTTAAGTTTTAATTTTTTTTTTGTCTGATTTTGATAGTTAGAAACAAAAAAAAATCAGTTATTATTTGAAAAGTTAACTAAAATTTAATTTAATTTTTGATATTTTTTTTGTCTAATTTTAATAGTTATAGGCATATTTCTATAAAAAAATCAGTTTATTATTTGAAAATTAACTAGTTGATTAATAAAATTTAACTTAAATTTTTTTTGTTATTAAGATAATTTTTTATTAAGATTTAATGATATATTTTTATTTATATAAATATTCTTATACTCCCCTTAAGAAAGTATTCAGGTATAGCTTTTTGCAAATTGTAGCTTAATTATATTATATTTTTAAATAAATTTTTATATAATTATAAAGTGCATGCTCCTGTAAATCTATTGGCTACATTTTATTATTGTTTTGAATTAATTTATATAACGCGTTCATAAAAAAAATAAATTTGATTCTTTAACAATATTACTTTGCTGATCATTTTTACCATTCTTATTATAATTAAATTAAAAATTTTTTTAACATGATAAAAGCAAAGAATTAACTGAATCTGAATGTAATCAAATTATTAGTCTTTATAAAAACGATTACAGTCAAAGAAATATCTAGTAGTATTATTAATATTCCTAAATCAATAGTTGCTAATACTATTCTTCATTATAATAATAAAGGAATTACAAAAAGTGCATCTCGTCAAGATAGCCACGAAAAATAAACAATGAAAATAAATATATTTTAAAAGCAATAACTAAAAAAAATAATCGTAACAGTATTAGATAACTTCAAAAAAAATTTAAAGAAATTACTAATGTTTAAATATCAACTAAAACGTTAGTTAAAGAATTACATCAAATTGGGTTTTCTTCTTATATTGTAGCAAAAAAACCTTTTAT